TTCTGTTTCATCCATGTTATTGCAAATGGCAAGAGTTCACCTTTTATATATATATATATATTTATATTTATATATATTATATATATATTTTATATTTATTTATTTATTTATTTATAGCTGAACAGTAGTCCCTTCTACACATATTATAACATCTTAATCCACTGATCTGTCCTCAGACAACTATATTGTTTCCATAAGTTGGCTAATGGAAATAAAGTTATTGTTAACATAGGAGTGTATTGTAAAGGAGAAAAAGAGAAGATAAAATAGTTTACCTAAGTTTGTGAGCTAAGATTCTGCCTCCTTTGAAGAATATAAACATAGAAAAAGAGGGGTCAATTTCTCTCTTATTCAGTATTTTATTGAAGCATTTAGCCCAATGTTTGCTGCTTATAGGCAATCTGTATTTGTTTAATGAATGGATAAAATGAGTAAGTAAAAGTAATGTATGAATAAATACACATACCTTTGCACTATTCAGAACCACTTAAAATTTACTAGACATTTTAGTGGTGTGGTAGTGTTAGTGTTTAATGAGTATTTCTTGCACCCTCCCTCTGAGTACAGGTAGAATTGCTCATCCAGAGCTTGTTGTTTGGGTGGAGCCATATAGTTATGAGCAGCAATACGTTACAAGGCCAAGGATTTATTTATCAACACAAAACCCACAAAAACTCTCATTTCCACTATCATAGCACCGAATAACATTAGAACTGGTGAATGAAGCAACTGACCAACAGTGAGCATGTGGCATATTATGATCCAAGGATTGTATCCATATATTTACTTTCTTCATTATACAAGTACAATTCTGTAGTTACCTGAGAAAACATTTTACTAGCTACCAAATACATTAAATTTTTGTCATGTGTCCACAACCAACTTGGCCTCTGAAACAGTGAAGTTAAATTTTAAAAAAATCATCATTAAAAATAGTTTCAAATAGCTAGCAAATGAACAAATCCAATATGAATAAGAATAGAACATTTAAGGTAAAAGATATTTTTGATAAAAATCTTTGCCTCACATTTTAAGGAACCCCAAAACAGGCATAATAGACATTTTTTAAGAAATTAAATAATTGCATTTAACCAAGGTAATAGCATTGTAAAATATAGTACAATTAAAATAAGTGGGTTTTTTTTTGGTTACATATACAAGCTCATGTATAATAAGTGTTCATAAGTAATTGTACAATATATTTGAAGGGTATGCTATCGGAATATCTACAGATAAAAATCTCACTGAAATAACTTTTTAATATACTATCTCTTTAAGAAACTTTGTGTCCCACTTTTATTAAAAGTGGGGAAAAGTTTTATTAAAACTGTGTTTCTCACCAACTAATTAAAAGTAGTTTTCAAAAAATGACTAAAAGTATGATATTTTCACCTTGGAATTGTACGGACCATAACAATTAGATGTTATTTGGTTGATATCAAGCAACTTTGATACAAATATTTTATTTGTATCAGATTTTCTATTTTAAAATCTCAGGAAGTTATTATAAAACAATGTTTTTGCTTCTTCCAAATCAAGCAATTTTGGTGTTTTTAACTACTTTTCCCTAGGATACAATTTCATGGTTATTATGTTACTTGACTTGAATTCCTGGTACATCAACACACATAACTAGCTTCTTAAGACATGTGTGTATAGGTCTATGATGACGACACATGGGTGAAGTGGTAGTGGGAAGTCCACAGGGATGACAACTGAGATGAAAAAATGTACAAAATGAATAATGATATGAAATAAGTAATAGATTTTTTTTAAAAAAATGCGTGTGATTCTTACCCTTTTTAAGTAGAGCTGATTATTTTCTGTGAGATGAAGATATTGCAATGAACTTTGTATGGGTTAACTGCCCTGAATAAATGGAAATGGAAATAATTGTCTCTTTCCTTATAACTTAAGCTTGTAATTCCAATGTAGTAGTGGCATCTAACTGTAGTCTAAAACTAAACTTCTCACTTAAGGCTTTGAAATTCAGAGCTATAAACTATTTTTATTCTCTAGTTTATTTCTAAATGTAATAAATAACTTAAGAGTTTTGCTATCATTTCTTTAAATAAAAAGGAAAAATCTGAGGTTATAAGGCAATCTAGGCAGTGAAAAGCTCACAATATGAAAATATTGCCGAAAGCACATTTAAAAGATTTCTAAGTATTCTCCACCAAACTCCCCAGTTGATACGATTTTAACTATTCTACAAGGCAGAATTTTTGACTCATGTTGAATATTATTGACCAAAATTTCCCCATGATGATTCAGGGGAATACCAGAACTGAACACTTCTAAATCCAAGTACCCACACTTCATTTACTTCCTTTTTCAATAAAAGACTAGTATGACACAATTTCAGTAAGTATCCAAATCATCACCATTCTATTTCATATAATGTATCTTTGCAAAGAATTATGAAAAATTATCTCAAGACACCCTAGAGCCAGGCTGTTTGGTCCAGAAACCATATGTTTAACTAGACCCTGAAAAACATTGTTGCAGAACAGGCATATGCTTGGCAAAGCCCTGGATCACCAGCTGGGCCCTGCTTCCTTCAGGAAGCTCCAGCTGCGTGTTAATGCAACTTCCATCCAAGGACAAGTTCCCTTTGGGCCATCAGAGAATGTGCATCTCTTACAGTTCAGTGGATCCTTGTAGTCGCCATGTAGACACAGGTTGTGAGTAGACACTGTGCATAACCCAATCTGCCATTTCCTCGCAAGTTCATACTTTGGTCCTTTACCCATTCCAACAACCCAGTTTGCCTACTGCTGTTGCTTTGACTTTATCTTTGTTTTTGATACTGCAATATTCAGGTTCCATAAGTATTTAGAGTCTACTCTGTGTCTCTTTTGACCTTATGTAAGATAAGCTTATTTCCTTGCCAAGCTTCCTAAAGAGGCTTAATGGAATTTCAATGTTTTCTTATTGCAAAAATTCTTATGTTTTTGTCAAAAGGAATTTGAAATACAACATGAAATGATGTACTCACTTCCCTCACTACCACCTCCAAATAACTAAAATACATAAATAAAACATTTCATAAAAAGTGCTTTACTACAATTTATGGGAGGTAAATTTAGCAAGCGCTGGCTCATTGTAGGAAAATTCAACTTATCTTTCCCTAATCCTTTTGTTGTATACAGGGAGAGAAATTTATGTCAGTTTAAAAAAATGTATTACGGTTTCTCATAACTGAATCCATTATTTTTCTGCATGATCCATCAGGTAAAAACAAGAATAATAGATTGCTTTGACAGAAACTTGAGCATAAACATCTCCAAGAATCAAATGTAGTAAGTTAAATGGGTTTCAGGTAGTTTTAAAACAAGATAAGATAAAATAATCTTTTTTATACATTTCAACATAAGATCTTACTAAAAAAGTACATTATTATTAGCAGCTACAAAAAGTCAGATTACATAGTAGTGGAATTTTTTTGGTAAAATTGGAATATTTCAATTCATTTTAAAATATGTTCAAGCAGGTTTGAACTCCAATAAGAGAACTTAAGGAAATGAGATATTTTTATTTAATTCCAAAAGCTGGTTATATATAAGCCACTCTTTGCTTGAGTTAGACTTGATGACTCCAAGTGAAGAACTGAAGTTGTCTTACACACAGTACTGATTTAAACAATTAGTATTGATGCTATGTTACAAATATTTTCTGTTCATAAGGAAATGAAGATGTGCTGTAATCAGTAACTGTATCTGACGCATTTTAGTTTCAGAAAAATTTGAGTGTTTGTATACATAGCTACGTCCTATACAGAGAAAGAGTAAAGCTACTTCACTTCACAAAAATTTTCTCTTTAACGTACATCTTTACAACATCTAGCCTTCTTTAATTTCATTCAGATAAAATAGCTTCTCACCATGTCTCCAGGAAAGGTGATCATATTCCCAGCTTCAATGGAAGAACTCTGAGTCAGTCAGCGTATAGCATTCTTATTAAGTCTATTATCAGTCCAATACTAGGGATATGAGCAATTTGCTTGAACAGGAAAAGGATTTTTATGGAAGCAGAAAATGCACAAAGAAAAATGTCCCATTTTCTCCTGGTATATGAAAAGAACTGGAAGTCCAGTTGCTATGGTAGCCATCTTCGATATGAAAGTGAAGACAATGCTGATCACAGAGGGAAGGGCTGAAAGGACTTGTATTGTACTGTGCCTGGACCTTCTCTCCCTACCTCTTATCTTCCAGTTAGAGTTTGTGAATTTACTTAATCTTTGAATTAGGATTTCTATAACTTTTAGATTTGTCTTTCACTCTAAAACAACATGGCACACAGCTACTCAAAATTATCTATTTTCTCACTGCATGTTTCATTCATATTGTTTTACACCAAAAGTTCTTTAGAGATGTATTTGATTTTGAAGCTACTTTAAGAACACCCCTAATCATCTAATAAGGGAGGATTTAATAAACCTATAGCATAAGGAGATAGTTATATTCTTCCAAAAGTAAATGCAAATTCAAGATGAGTGAAAATCCTGTTCTTTTTCAGATAAAAAAAAAAATACAATTTCATAACCAGGGTCAGAGATGATTCCTACTCTCTAGATCTAAAACAGAGATTGACTATTTTCTAGTCAATTAAAAACCTGGGTCTACATAATAAAAGTATGCTTACGATTATTATTAATACTAACATTGCAGTCATTATTCAAAAATCTTAGCCCATAGCAATCCTACGGCTCTCCTCTCATTTTTCTAAGCTATTTTGATAGTGCTTTCTTAGACTTTATGTATAATTAGATGTTTCTCTCCTATTTCTGTAGATGATAACTTATGAGTTTTGCAACCTAATTCTTAACATTAAGAGATTAAAACCAATGTAGATGATTCTCAGATGACACACACTGAGGTATAGAAAATTCCATCATTTCCTTTCACAAAATGAGAGATTTTAATTCTTTTTCTCAACAGCTGCTTCATTTTTTTATGCATAGGGAAAAAATATGTGCAATTACTCCAAGTACAATCAAGTCATTTAACATGGCTTTACCATCATTGTAGTTACAGGATATTTTAAACGAGAAAAAAAAATCTCAAAGCACAGGTCCTGCTGTGCAGCAAAGCAATCAAATTCCTTCATAATAACAGCCTGATGGAATTCAGCAATCCGAGGAATAATGAATAACCACTTTAATCAGTAAACAGGAAAATGCTACAACAGTTATGAGGAAAAATCGACTATCATCTGTTGATCCTCTTGATAGGCATTTCAAACAACAAATAGAAATATAAGTATCTTTTAAAAGGAAAACTAACTTTGTTTAGTATGCTTGATTTTGCTAGGCAGTGAGAAAATGATACATCATCATAAACTGTCCTGCAGTGTTGCCCAGGACAACAATGCACATAATGTCCACATAATCTGTCTTATAATACATGATGAAATTTATCCTAGCACTTAAATATGTTAAGATTAAACTCATCTGGCAGTGCATTAATAAGGTTGCATTTCTGGACTGATGATTTAACTTTATTGCTACTTCACCATTTGATGGACTTCTCCAGTGTTCAGCTTACAGGTTCATTTGCATTTGAATAGTTATCAAAATAGTCCTCAAGTTTCCAATGTAGTGTCTCAAATGTTGGCCTTTCCATAGGCTCTGCACACCAGCATTCCAACATGATGTTGTAGAATTGCAGGGGACATTTAAGTGGTCTAGGCATCCTATAGCTTTGATTCAACAATCGAATTACCTGAGCACCTGCCATACCTAAAAAATATAGAAAGGAACCATCAATAAACAAGTTGAAGTTCAGAGTCTTAAGTTCATTGATACATATACTCTAGGTTACAAAGCAAATTGATTTCCTTGATGAAGCCATGAGGGTTGCCATCCCCTTCCTGGACTGCAGAGATTAAACTGAATCCTGCATCAAGTAATGTCTTTAAGACTGCAATTCACGAGTAAAGGAAAAAGTAATAAACCACCTCATTAATGCAAATCATTGTCATCAAATTTTATCTATTAAGTTCCCACAGGCGCATGGTGTGGTCAACCTCATAACTCTGCTCTCTAAGTCTGAGCAAAGCATTTAAAGTAATACCTCAGTAAGTGACCTGCAGCAGCAAAGCCCACTTCAGAAATAATTACTCACCATTATAAGGCATTTCGCCATAAGTAATGATTTCAAAAAGAAGGATTCCAAATGACCACACATCAGACTTAATGGTGAATTTATTAGTGCAAATGGCTTCAGGAGCAGTCCACTTCACAGGCAGCTTTATATCGTGTTTAGATTCATAGAAATCTTCATTATCTACCTGTTAATGTAATAAGGAATTACACCAAAGAAAAGTGAGTTTCTGTAGCACCCTCTTTTATCGATGACCTGCTACATATTAAAATTTAAAGGGAAAAGATTCGAAATGAATTTAGTTCAAGTTATAATAGCAAATTCAAACTTTGGCATACAGGACTAAAAAAATAAAATATGATTTGATAACCTACTACGTGCTAAATATCTCACTAGGAGCTGTATTCTACTATATAAGGGAAAATTCACATGTGGTGATATCTGGTCTTTAGAAAACAAACAAAAAATGAAAGTTAAGTCCACCAGTTTTCTGATTTGTGGTGGTACTGAACAGTCACTGACTTGGATAATAACCATAGAAACACTTTCTGATAATAAAATTGATTTAAATAAGTGTATAAATTTGTTGTGATTCAAATAATTTAAAATTAGAAAATATGATGAATTCAATAAAAAAAATTTGCTTTGCTTCTTATCCACACCCATATTTTTAGGGTACAGTATAGGAATTAAAATTTAAGTTCAGAGAAAAATATCCAATATTTTATCTCCTATATCTCCTATTGTCTTTGTTGAGATGTCATGAAATGGGATAGGGAAAGAAGATGAAAAAGACAATGACTGTTGAAGAATTCTGGCAGCATGCATACTGGCCTGGCACAGAATGACCAAAGGTAGAAAGCGCAACTGTACAAGTATTCTGTTTGTTGATAAGGAAAAGGGAGACAGACAGAAGTTATAGGTAGTGAAAAACAGATCATTAATTCAACCACAAACTTAATTACATGCATTCCCATCTAGTTGGTCATAGTTTTATTTCATTCTCCTTGGTGAAAAAAGAGAAAACAAACAGAAATGGGAGGTAGTCTGTAAGGCATTTGGCCTACTGCAGTGATCTACACACCACAGAACTTGGAAAAACTTTCCTTTGAAGAATAACAATAAATACATTGGTCTACTGCCCTGTTAGGCTTCTGACCCATTACAAACAGAAATTTAAACAAAACCAACTCCACCTTAAATACTCTTGCAAGTCCAAAATCTGCCACTTTGTAGGTATTATGTTCACCAACAAGGACATTTCTGGCAGCCAGATCTCTATGGATGTAATTCTGAGACTCCAGATAGGCCATTCCGGAAGCAACCTGAGCCGCCATGTCTACCTGCTGAGTCAGTTGGATTTTTGATCCAGCATCATCTAGGCAACAAGAGAAAATAAGTTTATTTTGAAGGACAGTTGAACTATTGAAGGGAATTCTGAGAACTTGATTTATAGGTTATTAGCGGGATCAAGTGTCATATCACTGATCAGTTGAGCAAAGAAATTATAATTAATACAAAAAACTTTTATTTTCTATGAAGGGATAATAAAGCAACAATATTCGGAGTCTAAATATATTCCTAGTTTGTAGCCCTCTCTTCTCTGAATGAGCAATACACAGACAAAGGAGAAATAGTATTGCACGATCCAAAAGTGGTATAAATATCCCTACGGATTAAGGTATTACCAGTTCATTCTCATCAAGGCATTACCACTATCACAAATTACAGACACATTTTCTTCAAAGAAATTGTTGCACAGCTGTCTCTAGATTTCTTTCAAACATTGTACAATTTAGCAATTAACCTATAAAATAATGCTAATTTGCATGACTGAGCCAATGAAGTTTCAATTATTTTATCATATTGATCTTAATAACTAACTCACTAAAAACATGAAATGTATTAGTATTGTAGTTATAAAGATATGTACAATACATGTATCTTTATTAAGCTTGATAAGTTTTTATTTTCCATTCTTAATCTGTTACCCTGAGAATATCACCTGGCATGAAAAGGCATAGACATTGTTTCTCCTACTGTTTCACCTGTATAGGTACAGAAAACTTAGTAGAGTCATTTTCATCTTTTCAGAGATATTAGTTTGTATGGACTTTGTGAAATGGAGTCAGTCATCCTTGTGTGTTTAGCGGCCATACTATTAGCAAAGGTCTCCAGATTTCTGGAAAGTTGAAAATGTATACACACACACACACATATGATATAAGATTACATATATCTCACTATAAACTCCTGACCTGAGAGGCAATGAGTGTACAGAAGTCAGAAAGACCGGCTTAAAGCTAAATTTTCAGAAATTGGGTTAAGACTTCGTATCACATTTCTTCCTAGCCTTGGGAAAACTGCTCAACAGCTCTGGGCCTCAATTTCCTTGTCTATATATTGATAATTATAATTACATTATCAGATTAGTTATTAAAAGGAGAATTAAAATGAAGTAATACATGTAAACCACTAAAAAGCAGAGTCTGAGGCCCTCCCTGGTGGCGCAGCGGGTTAAAGCACAGCACTGAGAATCTGAAGCCACTTCCGCATGAGTTCGATTCCCGCCTGCCGCCTGCCCCCGGAGGAGACCACATGGCGAGTCAGACCTCTCCTGACCCGCCCGCTGCTTCCCTCAGCAGTGTACTTCGTCAATCTGCCTGTTCTGCTCCCCACTCTGTCTCTGGTGAAGCCTCTCACCGCCCCTGAGCCTCTGGCCTGTACCCCAGTTCTGTATGAATAAATAAATAAATCTTTAAAAAAAAAAAAAAAAAGAAGAGTCTGAGAGTCTGATAATTAGGGAAAATTCAGTAAATCCTAGCTATTATTTTTATCATTGTTACCACTTAATCATAATTAAATAATTTGAAATTTGACATGCATATGGATTACCTATGTCCAAGAGAAGATTAGCATAAATCTCTGATGTTCATGGGGAGATAATGCAGCCCGATATAATGGTTTAAATAATAATTTATGAATAGGGGTTAAACATTATAAGTGGAAGTGACAGAATCTTAAGAAACGCCAATCAACAGGGTAGACAGAGGAAAGTAAATGTGTAAAAAAAAAGATCAGTCAGAAAAATAAAGGAGATCCAGAAAAGAACATCATATCAGTCAAAAGCTTTCAGAAAAGAGAATTTCCACAAGTCCAACAAGATAAGAGATAAAGGTATCATTATCTATAATAATTATAAAGGCATTGGTAGTGGTGGCAAGAAGAACAATTTCACTGGAAATGGAGTATAAAGAGTAGAATATTGAAATGGAACAGAAGACAATGAGGTCAGGAAAAGGAAATGGTCAATTTCCAAAACGCTTATCAAAAAGGAACAACAAAAAAGAACTGGTAGAGGAAAATGCAAGTCAAGGTGAAATAAATATGACATTCACAATAAGTACTCAAATAGTTTTCTGGAATGCTCACCATGTGTTCACTCTTGATTTATGCAGTGGTTGTACAGTTGTTTGCTTTATCGCCTTATAATTTATGATAAATTACACTATGATTTATGTACTTTCAATAACAATGAGAGTGAAAGACATTTTAAACAGTGAAGAACTAAGCACAGTATATGTGTGTATAACTTTTTTAATGCAAGCGCCATATAGAATGAGGCTTGAGGTGAATCTCTGCTCACTGTTCCATTTGTCCTTTGCTGCCCAACACCAGAGAATCCATATTCTCTATTTTCTCTTACATTCAAACTGGGCTGAGTCAGTAATTCTGTTTACTGCAATCTGTGCATGGAAGATATTCATCAGTTATAGCCCTGTTTCTCACAGTCTCTCACAGCATTGTAGCTAGAAGAGATGAGTTTTGAAATGGCCGAGCCATGTGATGTAAGGAATAGCCCTGAGTCATGGTATAAAGAAAGTCACCTTAAAGAGCAGCCTGATGCATATAAAAAAATGAATGCTTTGGGCTTCCCTGATGGCAAAAGGGATTAAGCCTCAGCACTATGAAGCTATCTGAAACTACTGCAGCACAAGCTTGATCCCCAGCCAGGGAGGTGACCCATATGGCACAGCAACCTCTGTTGTCTCCTCTGCTGCTCCCCTTAACAGTGTATTTGAGACAAGCCACCTGTTCTGTTCCCCACTCTGTTTCCAGTGAATCTTCTTACCTCCCACACTTCTGGCCTTCACCCCAGTTCTTGTAAGCATTAACAAATAAAGCAATTACTTTTTTGAAAAGTGCATATATTTTTTAATTGCATAACAGTTAATAATATGTTTTTCAGCCTAAAGTGATATATAAGGAAAGTCAAAATATAACTTACTGTGTAATATAATGGCAAAGCATTGCTGTTTTGATAGCCAAAATAGCTATGCTATTTATTATCAAATTCCTTTAAAGTGAAAAAAAAATTGTAAAAGTTAAGATGAATTAGGGACTAATCCTGGGCTACGTGATAGGCAGATTCTAAAATATGTCCCATTGATCTCTCTCTCCTGCTATTTTTACCAGGGGTATTGTGAAATCATCTAAGTGTGGTCTGGAGCTAGTGATTCACCTTTAACAAATACAAGTCAAGAAAAGTGATAGAGCATCTTCCAAAATAAGTTTTCAATGACTTGCTGAAACTCTTTATTCTCTTGCTCTCTCTGTTGCTCATGCTGATGAAGCCAGCTGCCATGTTGCAAGTTGCCCTATGGAGTGATCCACTTTTCAAGGAAAATAGGGCAGCTTTCATCCAGCAACCAGCAAGACAAGGACTTCCTCAACTTAACTGTCCCAAGGGAACCAACTCTGCCAACAATCACATGAGGGAGCTTGGAAGAGGATCAGCCTCCCCTAACACTCTCAGACTTGAACACCTGCAAGCACTGTGATGGCAGCCTGGTGAAAATCCCTGCATTAGCAGACCCAGCTCAGTTGCACCTGGATTCCTGGCCACAGAAACTGTGAGATAATAAATGTTTGCTGTCTTAATCCCCTAAGGTTTGGGGTAATTTGTTTTGCGATGACGGATAATGAGTACAGGTTGATGTCAGGATGTAACACCAGTGTGATATACTCTTGTGGTTAAAAGCAACTATGGAGACAGACTTCCTGGGCTTGAATGCTGGCTCAACCAGCTTGGATAAGTTGCTTAGCCTCTCTCACCTCATTTTCTTCAACTGTAAAATCAGAACCATAATACTTCATGAGATTGTTAGAAAAATGAACTAAGTTAATATTTGTTTAGGCCTTAGAAAAAGGTGTGGGGCACACTAAGTATTATATTGTATTTGAATATAAATGAACTTCTCTATTATCATTATCCATATGGTTAATTTCCAGATACCTCCTTTAATAATTGGAACAGCAATAGGCATATTATTATTATTTGCCCTACTAGATGGTTTGCTGCTACTCCAACAAGCAAATAATAAGCTGTAGAATGTAGTCAAATCTATGTTATTTTTAAGGCTGAAATCTCATGCTCTCAAAAGCTGTTCTGTATTACCTCCCCAGAAATTACTTTACACATGATTCCTAAGCACCCAAAAGTCAGGGGGTCAGGGAATCTTTCACTCATACAAAGGGCAAATAATAATGTTATTACTAGTTGCACTCAGCTAAAAGATATTTCAGTGAAAACATTCCTGTCTGAAGTTAGGTGGCATTTAGGTGAGTTGTTCCTAAGAATAATGAACAACATACTAAGGCTTGACTTATTTTTTAAAAAAAAAAAAGGAAGAAAAATATATTCTGACTTCTGACTTAAGTTAGGTTCTCTCTAGGTATTTTTGGAAAGAAAACAAGCACAACTAAACTAAAGATATATACAAATACTTGCCATTTTTAATTTCAATAAAGAATACTAGACATCAATTACTCTCAATGCTAAAGATTTTTACAAAGCTCTCCCATTCTGGAGAAATTTATGACCAAAAAAAATTCAAGCAGGATGACTCTATAGAAAAATATGTATGTTATTTCAACTATCAAATACAGCATCTAATCCTATTACAGTGAATATAAAAGGTTTTCAGCGACAGGCACAATAGTGAAAGAAATTGAGTAATAAGCATTTCCTTCCCTGAAGAGCAGTGGCCTAGACACTACCTAAGAAATCTTACCCCGCTTCTAGCACAACCACTGTATGTCAAAGTTGAGATAAAGGTTCATAGACCTGTGACAATTTATATCTGCAGCAAGAAAATATTTTCAATTATGTTCCATTATTCAAGAGTTTCAGTTTAATAATCGTTACCATGATGGGCCTTAAGAGTGGCAGATCTTAAGAGCGGCAGATCTATTCTAAGGTGAATAGATCTGAATTTAAACCCTCTTGGTTGGGAAGGGGTTGTGTTTAACAAGCCTATCTTCATTAGTTCTTCTGGCTGTCAAACATCCTGCCAGATGGAGGCCTTGGTAGACTTCACCCTAGTGGCCTATCTCAAAAGATTACAGAGTTCGTACTCAGTTCTGGCTGAAACACATCAACCAGTCAGAGGAAACCTCAATACCAAAGGAACTTGCCGAAATGGATCTTTCAAAGACGGTAACAAAACTTTCAAAACATTGGCACTGAGTTCCAATCTAATTAGGTTCCGGATGGCACCAAGTTAATCTACCCATCAATTTATTTATTTAGTCAGTCAGCACAAAATTGGTCTCAGACACCATTCTAGTGAAGCAATGAAAAATCTGCCCTTGTAGAGTTGTATTTTGATTATACTAAAAATTAACTGAATAAATAAATCATGCATTGTAATATGATTAACAGCTAAGAAGAGAAACCAAAAAGCAGGAGAGGAGAACACAAAGGGTCAGTAGAGGAGATTAAGAATTTAGAGGGTGATCAATAAAGGACTCTCCATGACGGGAAAGGCTGAGTAAAGATTTTCAGGAAATGAACTGAACTATGAGGATAAGTAATGAGAAAAATGAGATAGAGAAAGCAGCAAGTACAAAGGGTCTTAAGCAAAGCACATCTGAAAGATGTGAAGAGCAGTAAAAAAAAAAAAAAAAAGTGTATTGTAACTGACCTAAAGCAAACAAGGAGGAAGTTGTGGAGATGTGGTCGAAGAGATAAGGGAGAGCCAGGTCATGCGAGATGTTATGGGTTATACAGGAAAACCACTGGGTGTCACTGAAGATTCTGAGATAAGGGGGAATAATATAATCTGATTTACACTTTAACAGAATCCCTCCAGCTACTGTGTTGAAAAGAATCTGAAAATGACAAAAACCAAGAGTATTAGTAACTTGAAGTCTACAGCAGACACTGGGTAAAAGCAATGGTTTGGAGGGGTGTGTGTTAAGAAGTGGTAAAATACTGGATATATTTGAAAAGCAAGTTAAAGTGATGTGTTGGTTACATGCAGAATGTGGGGGAAAAAAAAAAAGTAGAAATAACTCCAGGACCATTGATCTTAACATTGTCAAAGAAGAATAAACCACGGGTAGCAGATTGGGGATAATATAAGGACAGTTTTAGATACATTGTTCTGAGATGTCTATAGGCAAATATAGTAGAAATATGAGCTATTCATATTTGAGGAGGTTTTTCTCCTTTTAATCACTTCACAGGATTGTTCTCCTTTAGCCTCTTTGACTTGATTTGGCCAAATAAAAATGGTACAGAAATTACCTCTTGTCACTCCTAATCAGAAATTTTAAGAGCCAGAATGAGATTCGTCATATTCCCTTCTCCTTCCAAGTAATAAGAGTTGAGCCACTAGTCAACTTACTTTGCTTGTGTAGCATGAACAAAATAAATTCTTGGTGTGTTAAGCCTCTGGTATGTTAAGCCTCTCGAATTTTGGATTTCTTGTTATACTATAGCTACATGATCCATGTGGACACAACATTAAAGTACAAGTTAAGAAGGCAATTGGATATGATTCTGAAGTAAGGGCAAGATAATTAGGGGAAATATTAGAATGTAACTAGTCTTAAACAATGAAATCAATTGAGATTAGCATGAGAACTAGGGATGTTTGTAGAAGATTCCAGGACAACTCCAAGAGATTGAAATTTCTGGGAGGTGAAGGAAATTAGATTGAGAAGAATCAACAGGAAACGGGAGGGAAAGTCATTTCGATGAAGTGTTCTAGAAGTCAAATGAACTATTTATAGATGGAAAAGTTTTCATTTTATTAAATGCTTCTGAACATGTAAGGACTGAAAATTAGCTATGAGATTTAACAATGGGAATGCTATTAGTGATCTTGCCAAAACATTTTTGTTAGAGATGTCCCTGGGATTTAGGCAAAGGGATGCCGTGGTCTTTCTATGATGGGTACCATTCTGATGCTGTTAAAGCTAATGTTTTTTTTTTTTTTTTTTTTTTTTGAATGGAAGCAAGTGTCATTTTGGTCTTAACAGCATTTATGAGGCTTTGTTATTTGTTCTTTTCTAATTTTGTGATTTAATAACATCAACTTCACAAGTCACCCTGAAATAGGAGAATACTCTTTTCTACTGACATCTTTGTTTCATTATTCTCACCTCCTTTTACCTCCATGCAATCTGTCAATCCCACTCTGACATTTCAAGAATGTATTTACAAAGTATCATTTAAGTATGAATTATTCTCTCAGTACTTGATCTATACTACTTTGAACACCTAATTTTAATGCTTATTATATTGTTGCTTATTAAATTAGTCACCTGTAATTAACATAAAAATTTCTCAAAGCCTTTGGCTTATCTGACTACAGGAAGTAGACAGAAATAAAGCAATAGTATATATCTGCTTTTTACTCTGAAAATTAACACTGTTTAGCAGTTAAAGTTCTTTACTTTTAAACATCCTTGTTTATTTTTCCATAATATAGAATTTCTCTCCTCAGGTGCAGACTCCCTAGTTTTTCCATCACCAAAATGCCCACAGTCCTGCGCTGTAACAGTAGAAGTGTCTTAAACACTTCTAAGTACAATGTTATTAAATACTAGTAATGGGGGAAGAGGGGAAAGGTAACTTTCCTCTCTTTTCCCAAAAATATTCCTAATTCTGGACCATATAAAGTATTGGTCTGTCGCTGATAATGTTCAATTACTTGTTATAGAAAACAAACATCTATTCTTCAATTTTCTACATTATGTTAAGTACTACAATATGTCTATTGTGAAAAACTTTTTCTTCTACTACATAAATATTTTCCCTCTGAGTACACGGTATTTATCCTATTAAACTGTAGTCAAGCCATTCAATGTTAAGACATTCATTCTCACAGATGCACACATAGTAAATATCCTTTGGATTACAGAGCTTGCTAAATTGACATTTATAGGACTAGCTAAAATAAGCTCCTCTTTTTTTTTTCTTCTCATTTTATTAAGTCTTTAGCTTACTTTGTAGATATTCTAGCAGGCTTCCATGTCTCATCAACTCTGTAATAATATAAATTGGATCTTCCAAAGTGCAAACAGCATAAAGCTGGATCAGCTTTGGATGTCTTAGGTTCTTCATTATCTGTGCCTCCCTCAGGAAGTCCTTTGGATCCATTGAACCTGAAACAAGAGAAGGAAATCATTTTATGTTATCGAGGAATCTTCTTCTCACAGAAGCCTGGTGGGAATCACCCACATTGCTTCTTGCTTCTCAGTAAAGTAAGAACATCAATGTCACAAAGCTTCAGATTTTTCAAAGAGAATCAGTTCAGATAACAAGGAAAGTGTTGCTGCATCCAGGGTGTGTGCAGTTTATCTGTTATGACCTGTAGGTGAAGAGAGGTTGATTCAGGTTCATATGAAAATAAAGGGAGAAACCTACAATAAAAGTGATCAAATAAAGCAGGGATCTTATGAAAAACAAGGAGAAGTAATCTGAATGGAAAACACTGAATCTTTAATTATTACAGCCAAAGCTTTTTCATCCAGAATCCAGGAAAGACAGGAGCTACCCTGTCCTTTGTACCCAACATAGGAACAGCTACATAACAATCCTAAAGCAATGACATTCTGCCATTTGTACATTTTAATTCTATATGGACATATTGTTTAGGCTAAAGAGAAAACACTAAAAACTTAGTACTGGTCTTTTTTTTTAACCAATTTTATATGGTTAACTTGAAACTTACATTCAACATTTTCTCCTGTGTTATCTACTTTCAATAGTCAGTCTTAATATGATGGCCAAATGATAAGAGAAGTAATACTGGAACTCACAGATTCAGAGGACAAATTGGTTGTAGTCAGAAGTTAAGGGATTGGGGGAAAGATGATAGGTAGACAAAAGATATGAAGGAGGTTAAAAAGTACATACATACATTTATAAAATAAATAAGTTATGTATAGCATGATGACTAATTGTCAGTAACACTGTCTTACATATATGATTTTTTTAAGAAAGTAAATCTTAACTGTTCTTATAAGAAGAAAAATTTTGTAGCTATATAGTGACGATGTTAACTAAACTTATGGTGGTGATCATTTTGTGTATATACATGAATATCAACTCCTATTGGACACCCGAAGCTACTATCTATTTATCAATTATACTTCAAAAAATGTAGACTTCACAGCTAATACTTGAACTCTGGTAATCTAAGGTAACACTCTTATTTGTTTATTAATGTGAAGTTAAGAATTATTACACATATGCACATTATTTCACATAAAGCACTTAGCCTATCCTCTAGGAAACCCCTATGAAAGTCTATAAGTTTAGAAGCCAAGCTTAATCAAACTCTGGATTCTGAACAAATCTGAGCTCTCTATGTGGACTTGAGGAAGTCACCAAATATCTCTGAATTTCTGTTCTTTCATCTGTAGGATAAATGGGAATAATCTCACCTATATAATTAAACCTTCCCAGGATTATCACAATGTCTGCACAAGTGTATTCAATGACTGTTGACAATTATTGATAGTAGTATTAAAATGAATAATGAATACTACTGGGAAAACCAACAGATCAACTGTAAACTTTTTCCCTGGCTGAGGGAAAAGGCAAAGGTTTAAAGAAGGAAAATAGGGAGAAACTATCTTTTTTCTTTTTTTTTTAAGATTTATTTATTTACACATACAGAACTGGGGTACAGGCCAGAAGTGCAGGGACAGTGAAAGGATTCACCAGAGTCAGAGACAGGAGAACAGGCAGACTCATGAAGTACACTGCTGAGGGGAGCAGGGGGCAGCACAGGAGAGGTCTGCCGCGCCATGTGGTCACCTCCAGGGTCGGGGATGGAACTAGGCACTGAAGCATCTGAGGACAGCATGCAGTGCTGCATCCGAACCCATTGTGCCACCAAGGAGGGCCCACCTTTTTTTTTTTTTTTTTAATCTTGTTTTGCTGGGCTCCCTCCTCTCCATATAATGAAATAGGATTAAAATCTTGAATCTCAAAAGGGGATATAAAGGCATTTAACTCTCCCCATCCCTACCAAAAAAAAATCTAATTTATGAAGCTTCCAGTAATAGGAGCAATTATGATCACCATTCAGGCAATTTATATATGCAATAGGTTTCTATGGTGGTGTTTTGGGTGGCCTTCAGTCCTTGGAATGCAAAACACTCAAATCATTGCCAAATCACACTACCCACCAGAGTTGAAGCCACACCACACAAACGCTGGTGAAGCACTGCCTTGTGGCTAAGCTGGTTCCAGCTGACCAGCTGCAGTGCGAAGAAGACACAATCTCAACTTAGCTAGTAATGCAACATTAAATTTTAATTTTTGCCTGTCAAATCTACTGTGGGAGTTGATTTCAAGCTCGTCTTTACTGCGTGGTAGTCTACTAAGCAATAAATAGCTGCTAAGATTGATTAATAACCCCAGTGAAGTGAAGGCATTTAACCAATCACCAAAGCTGTTTGCTGCTATTATGCTATAAATCAATAATAATTATTCCTGTTGGAGAGAAAACTATTGTGGCACTGTTTTTTAATATAAGAAATCTGATTTCTTGTTCTCTTTTGGCCTCCAGAAGGACTGGAGAGCAATATCAGGATGAATAAGCCAGCTGCTTCTTTTTTGGAAAATAGTGATTAAATTAGACAATAAAATTTAGCCTCAATTCTCAACAAGGTTAGGATTCAAAATCATATACACAGCGATTGTAAAAATCACAGGTGCTGAAATAGCACAGCCTCACCTGGAGAACTCACATGGCATCTGGCCACTTAAAAGGGTTTTCTATTGTTTCATTTATAGCCAATTTACACTTCAGGGTACATCTGTCAGCAGCACACTGAAGCTGACATGTATTAAGAATTCACTGCATCTATTTTATGTACTTTGACTCAATTTGTACTTATAGAACCTTATGCAATAGGAAGTGTAATAATTCCTGTTACAGATGAGGAGATTTTCAGTGAGGTTAAGAAATTGTCCAATGTCTTGGTTCTGCGCTCTGTGATTTTATACAGTTTTTCCTGTATAAACAAGAAACTCTGCATGGGGTTTTTCCTACAATGAACTTTATAGTATTAGCTACTGCAAAAAAGGGTTCCAAATTTTCCCCATTAATGGAGCTCTTATATTTTAAGTAACATTCTTGTGCCATTCTTAACCACCATTACTTACTAACGTTCTATGTGTATCTGCTGGGCTTGGCACAAGGCCTCAAATCTTAGTAGCAGATAGGACATCACTACTTTCCACAGTGAGTTTTGTATGGGTCTCACATGGTCTGATGTTGGAGCTGCAAAACAACCTTGAGGGCTCAGGTTGGACAGTCTTCAAGATGTTATCTCAAAACATTTAAATATACTGTGGTATCCTTTGCCTCAAGTCACAATGGCGCTCCAGGGTGCTGTGGTACAATTTGGGTCTTCGGCTGCCAGGAAGCAGCACCAAGGTGCACAAGTTCTGCCCTAGGGAGGCTTTCTAAACCTCTAAGAATTCTGTCCTAGGAAATAATGGAGGTTACCCAAAGAACTTTAGCCTCTGGCTATTATTCTCACCCATGTTATTAGAAGTAGATTCGAAGTAACTACAGTAACTTTACACTTTTATCGACTCACTTCCCTGAAGTGTGATGCAATAATAAAAGCTGAGAGATAAAATTCTAACTCTACAATTTGACTCTGTAATGACAATAAATAATTTAAATGACCTAATTTAATCTGTATAATTACTAGGTTGATCTTATTTTCTTTATTTTGCTGTGATAAAACTGAGTCATGGAGTACTTTAAAATTTTGCTCAAAATCATATAACTAGTAAATCATAGGACAGTTACTTAATCACTTTAAATCTTATTCCATTTTTAAAATGAAAGAATATTACCTGACTAAATAAAATCAATTTTAGTATACCTTTAATTTCCACAAAGGAAAAAAAGAAGGGCAACAGTTCTTTTTCAACTGTGAGAACTTTTCAATAGAGTATTTTATTTTTTAACCACATGCAATCAATTGGTATTTAATAAAATAATCATGCCCTGAATAGTTCCATGATTCCACTAATTACTTTTAAGTATTTCAGTTGTCAGTATTTGTAAATGAAATCAAAGGAATAAAGAGGATGGGATTATCAGATATTGATCTTGATTCTTGAGAAGAGACGAAATTGTGAAATCTTGCACTGGTCCAGTGAGCCTGCACCCCCCTTTACTCTAAAATAGTGTCGGGGCTTATGGGGGGCCTGGGATAGAGAAAGTGGCAATGGCATTTGTTTGGTGCCGAATTGATTGGCCTGTGACTTCTTGGACATTAAGTGGCAACTGAGCAGGTACAACTCAACACAGCCCTTGGCATCCATATTCTCATACCTGGTTTTAATGTTTTTACTGCTACTGGAGTAGTGTTGTTCCATAGACCTTCCCATACTTCACCAAACTGACCAGATCCCAATCGCTTCAGAAGCTGTACAGAGTTGCGATCTATCTCCCACTGGTCCACAGTCTTATAGGATAGATCAAAAGTTGCTGGGACTTGGATCTATGTCACAGAATAATTAAAATACTTGTAAGAAAAAAGTTAGATCTAAAAACATTTCTATTTGAAAATAACAGTTTAGGTACTTATAAAAAGATATGAGTTTTAAAACAAAATATTATAAATTTTATATTAATTACTTTAAAAATGAAAGTAATTATAGCGGAAGTTGCATCATTATCTTTTCAAGCAACCGAACCTTGCTGGGTCAGATACATTGTAGTCCATCTATCTACCCCCTACACAATGTATCCTTCACATGGGTCTGTCCTGATTTTTCTCTGCCTCTTTGCTTAGCTAAATAAACCTAATTTCAAGGCTCAATTGAAGTTTCACCTCACCCACAATTACTTTCTAAACTCATTAGTCTACAACATTTATCATATGTATTGTATATTTTGTATAAATTAAATTTTCTTTTTAAAAAATGCATTCATTATTTCATTCATTCATTTATTCATTTTGTAAATACAGATTTATCTTGGTGCCATTCTGTAAACAGACAGACAAGACCTTTGTCCTCCTGGAATTCATAGTCTAGTACTATCTAAAATTTGAAGCTTATCTCCTCTACAAAGTCATCAACATTTTGAGTTCATAGAATTTAAACTATACTACTTTGCAAACACTTTTTCCTACCAGAACTCAACAATATTGGTTAAACCAAGTATTTTTTATGCTCAGTCTTTTTATCAGGTATTTCTTAATATGAGTTCAAACACTCTTGTGGGATCATTCCTTTACATCTAAGATTTACATATTTACACAAAAATGAAACATTCACTAGAAAGGACTTAATAAACTCTCTCCATTCTAGACAAAATTATGTAGCTTCCACTTATTTGTAAAATTGTGATCAATTATCAGCAGGAAACTTCCTAATTATTCAAGTATAAACCACAGGGCTGATTATCTATTAACAGTATATAAGACCTGAACTCAACCTGGTAATTTCCCTTACTCTTGAACACAGATCTATATAAGATTTATATTCTGGCACTTTTTTCCAGCTCCAGCCATATCATTGAGTACTTCACAGACAGCATATAAATGTATTAGCACTAATGTGTTAGTACCATGAATATTTTCTATCTTTGATTCAAGGTTTGCAAACATTTTTTATGTAAAGAATGAAAGAGAGAATAAGTATTTCAGGTTTGTGAGCCATAAAGTCTCAGTTGCAATTAATAACAACTGTCATTACAGTGTAAAAGCAAAGATGATTTATAAATAATAAAGCATTTCTATGTTCCAGTAAACTTATTTGTGAAATGAATGTGTAAGACAATATTGGTCCATGGACCATTTTTAGCCTACCTATCCCTTAAGTAATCAAAAGCCTTTTATCTGAACTGACATACCACATGAAAAATATTGGAAGGAAAAATGTTAACTTCAAAATTAACATGTAAATAGCTTGAATGCATCCCACCTTTAAGCAAGGTTTCTCCAACTTGATGCACAGGCCATCATTTGTCTTGGTGTAGTGGCTCACAAATTCTTGCAGTGTTGGAAAGATTTTTCTCCGGGTAATGAAAAATCCCCCATCATCCAGTCTTCTGATTCTGTAGTGTTTCACAGCACCTTCATGTAAAACTGGAATTCAAGATAAGTCTTATTAATAAACTTCTTGTCAAAATAAAACAGGTTTATTTATTTTGTAGCAGTAGTTTCAGTTCATGGAATAAAATTTTCACAAATCCCATTTATTTCTCAACATTATTTAAAAAAATATTTTAGTAACTATACCAATGATATAAGTATACAAAGGGCAAAAAAAAAAAAAGAATTGGGGAATTATATTAAAAGAAATATAGGGAAAAATAAGAGTCCAGCACTCAAAAACTTGCTTTATATTCTAGTATACTTGATGAAAGCAAGTACTAAATTTGACTTTATCATCCTAGCAATGTAAAGTTGAAACATCAGTTTCATAAATCATAGCATTCATAACATAAAATCACAAAAGGTGCTTAGAGATCATTCAACTCTTTCTAAGAGACCTGAAAAATCCTATAAAGTTGATAGTGAAACAGAATAAACATCATTTTCAGTACAATTTAAGGAATTCCATAGACCATTCATTATATTGTCTCTCAATGCTGACTGATAACAGAATACCTTAACACAGTTTTATAAAAGCAGTTCCACAGGACCTAAAATGAAGTAGTTTATATATACAATTTTGCAGCAGGATTGCTTAATCCAATGGTTAAGTACTGTAACATCTAGAATGCACAGACTGTATACCCATTTTTTTTAAAGATTTATTTATTTATTCGTACAGAACTGGGGTACAGGCCAGAGATGCGGAGGGTGAGAGGATTCACCAGAGACAGAGCGGGGTACAGAACAGGCAGATCGACGACGTACACTGCTGAGGGGAGCAGCGGGCGGGTCAAGAGAGGTCTGCCATGCCACCTCCGGGGCAAGCGGGAATCGAACTCATGCGTAAGTGGCTTAAGCTTCTTTGCGCTGTGCTTTAACCCGCTGTGCCACCAGGGAGGGCCCGTATACCCATTTTTAATATCATCTGACTGGTAGTTGACACTTTGTTTTGTCTGTCAGCAAACACTATCCCTTCTGATTACAGCACCCCAATTTTCCTAAGAGCACCCCTTTTCTCCTGAAAATATGTTGTCTTGGGGGATCTGGTGCCAGCCTTAAACCAAAAGCATAAATAGATGCAAAGTTTATTATAGCACAATGGAGAATCACAAACATATCCACAGGTTTACTGTCAATTTATAAATGACAAAGGAGTCAAGAATATAAAATGGGGAAAGGATAGTCTCTACAAAAATGGTGCTGTGGAAAATGTATAGACACATGCAAAAAAAAAAAAAAAGCCCACTTTTTTTTCTTATACCATATACCAAAATAAACTGTACACTTGATTTCCAAAATGGAGTATAAAAGACTAAAGACTTGATCATGAGACCTGAAACCACAATACAGCTAAAATAAAACATAGGAAGTAATTTCCTAGACATTCGTCTCAAGAATGATTTTTTTTTTATTTGGAACTAAAAGCAAAGAAAACAAAAGCAAAATTAACACATAGAACCATACAAAACTAAAAAGTTTGCATATCAGAAGAAGCCATTAATAAAGTCAAAAGAAAACTCATGAAATGAAAAAAAGTACTTATAAACCACAGATTCGACAAGAGGTTAATGTTCAAAGTACACAAGGTGTACAAATAACTCAATAACAAAAAACAAATAACTCAGCTCAAAAATGACAGAGCCTTAATAGACACTTTTCCAAAAAGGACATACAAATGGCTAAAAAAAGTACATTAAAAAGTGTTCAACACACTCCTTTTGAGATAACGACTCACAATTGGTATAATAGCTATTATTAAACGGATAAGAGATAATTCATGCTGGTAAACAGGTGGAGAAAAGGGAATCCTCTCCAATTGCTGGAGGGGATGCAAACAAGCACAGCCACAATAGAAATAAGTGCAGAGGTTCCTCAAGAAATTAAAAATATAACTACAATATAATCTAGCAATCCTACTTCTGGTATATATTCAAAGAAACTAAAATTATTATTCAAATAGACATCTGTACTTCCATGTTCACTGCAGCAATATATTCAATAATTAAGGTATGGAAACAGCCTGATTGAGCATTGACAGCTAAATGAATAAAGAAAGTGTAATGGACAGATGGATGATCAAATAACTAGAGAGATTAAATAGATACATACATACAAACATACATACATACACTCACAGATACATTATTGGCCTGAAAATTCAAGCTTTACCATTTATCAGAAAAAAGGACATAAATTGTAGTGGGAATATCTAGCAAATCAATAATTCCATAACTGGAAATGATAGGAAGCAAAATAAAAAAAAATCCACCATTTTAGACAAAAATGGGCTATATCTGGTTCAAAAAATGACATAGACTACATGGAAATTAAACATAAACTTAGGAGTTCCTTTTTAATGCACCATGGGAGATCTAATGGTTTTTAACTAGAGAATGTGTCAGATAGCTGAAGGGTTAAATTACTCCTTGTGATTTTCTTAATAAGGGGTGCAATCAAAATGATTGATATGGGTTTGGTGAATGCTATTGATTATAAAGAAAGTTAAATAAAAGTCTTCCAATTCCATTTTGAAGTTTACACCTTCAAAAATCAGCACTTTACAATATATCTAGAGTTGTCAAGCACAATGAAAGTAATTCTGTACAGTAGAAAAAGCAATAGACTGGGAAATGGGTGGCCCAGAGTACAATTTAAGTAGTATACACTTTAGGAAATCTCTAAATTTCCTAACGTTTCCATCTTAGAGTTGAAACATTTTTTTTTTTTTAAGATTTATTTATTTGTGCATACAGAACTGGGATGCAGGCCAGAGGCTCGGGGGCGGTGAGAGGCTTCACCAGAGACAGAGTGGGGAGCAGAACAGGCAGATCGACGAAGTACACTGCTGAGGGGAGCAGCGGGCGGG